GGGGAAACTGAGGCACAGCTATAGGAGAATTGGGGTATGGCTATATAGGAAACTGAGGCATGGCTATGAGGGAATTGGGGTACAGCTATAAGGGGATTGGGGTATGGCTACAGGGGAATGGGGTAAGGCTATGGGGCAAATCGAGGCATGGCTATGGGAAAAACTGAGGCACAGCTACAGGGGAATTAGGATATGGTTATAATGGAAATTGAGGCACAGTTTTGAAGAATTGGGGTATGGCTATGGGGGAAATCAAGGAGCAGTTATAGGGGAAAATGGGGCATAGCTATAGGGGAATTGGGGTATGGTTATAGCGGAAACTGAGGCACAGCCATAGGGGAAACTGGGGCACAGCCATAGGGGAAACTGAGGCACAGCTATAGGGGAAACTGGGGCACAGCCATAGGGGAAACGGGGGCACAGCTATAGGGGAAACGGGGGCACAGCTATAGGGGAAACTGAGGCACAGTTATAGGGGAAACTGGGGCACAGCCATAGGGGAAACTGAGGCACAGCTATAGGGGAAACGGGGGCACAGCTATAGGGGAAACTGAGGCACAGCCATAGGGGAAACTGAGGCACAGCCATAGGGGAAACCTGGGGCACAGCTATAGGGGAAACTGGGGCACAGTTATAGGGGAAACTCAGGCAGGCCTATGGGGGAATTGGGACGTGGCTATGGGGGAACCTGAGGCGCAGGGGCTGTGGGGCTCTGCTCACCAGCAATGAGGGTGCTCTGCTGCCTTGCCTGTTCCAGCAGCAGGACGTGCTGCAGCAGGGAGGCGGGGGGATCCCCCTCCAGGGCCACCCCCAGCAGGCAGCCAGGGATGGACGACGTGCTCAGGAATTTCCCACTGAGTGCAGCCCCGGGGCGCAGCGTGGCCACGGCCGGGCGATCGGCTTCAGGCTGTGGGCTCAGCTTGGGGGATGCCTGGGGGGGGGAAAAACGCAGCAATGGGTGCTTCTGCGTCACCCCCACAGGACACCAAAGCCCACTGCCACCCCCATGGGATGCCAGGTTACCATGAGACCCTCCTAGGGATGCCAGGGTCCCCATGGGGTGCAGGGTCCCCATGCTGCCCTTATGGGACCCCAGGCCCCACTGTAACACCCCTGCAGGACCCCAGATCCCAGTAACACTCCTATGAGACTTCAGATCCCAAAAGCCCCCCTATAGGACCCCAGAACCCCCCAAAAGCCCCTCTGTGGGCACCCAGACCCCCCAATAAACACCCTGTGGGACTTCAGATCCCAACACCCCGCCCTATGGAACCCCAGATCCCCCCAACAGGCCCTCTATGGGAACCCAGATCCCATTAGCCCCCTGTGGGACCTCAGAGTCCCCCAGTAGCCCCCTATGGGAATCCAGATCCCAATAGGCCCCATACAGGAACCCAGACCCTGCCCAGCAGCCCCTCTATGGGGACCCAGATCCCAACAGGCCCGCTATGGGACCTCAGAGCCCCCCAACAGCTTCCCTATGGGAACCTAGATCCCAATAGGC